AGTCCACAAGTCTTAAAGTTGCCAAGGTTGGACTCTCCTGCCCTAGACTGAGTCAGAAGTTTTATCCATTATACCACACTGAGCAAACTGGATAAGTAGGAGATCTGCGTTGATTGCTAAACTGCTAAATCACAGTCTGATTTCTTCCGTCCAGGGTCCTTCAGTTACCTTGATGATGTTCCATTCAGGATAGGAGAAAAATTCAGAAGACCAGCGAAAGTTGGCCTCCCCATTGGTTTCTATTTGCCAGACTCTCCCCAACTGATAACGGAAGCCCAGGTGAGTCATAAGTCCTGGACATTTTTTAAAAAATAAAGGATGCTTTAACCCGTTTGCTGAATCGCAATTGACATGATAAGGAACGCCTAGCACATTATCTAGTTCTTAATTCATGTCTCTGGTGAAACTCACCTCAGTTTAAACCTCATTGGGTTGATTCCTTGTGTTCCCTTAAACCAGAACTGCTTTGATTTGTTTGCACCTCTGCTGCGTTGTGTGTAGAAGCCAAAGAACAAAACAATAGATTTGCAGTAGTCAGTACTTCTTTGTTAATCACCAGGGAGAACTTAAGTGGAAGTTGCAGTCAAAGGAAGAGATCCTCTTTCTTTTGAAGTTCTTCCTCTTTTGAAGATTTTAGATTCCGATGCGTCCTCACAGCCAAGGTGTTTTGACTTCATACTTGGCTTTTGCAGAAGTTATCTTAATAAGGGCTCCTTATTTGGCTCTCAATAAACTACGCAAAAGGATCTGTAGGTGCATTTCCTTTAGAGGAAATACCTTTGCTCTCGGAGTACTTCAGTTTGTGGGCTCCTTGGTGTTCTTTGAGCTTGGTTGTTTTCTTGCAGACTTTTCACAATCCAGCTGGGTAACATCAGTGCTAGAAGGGAGGAGGGGGGAATGTTCTTATTTTATATACTAGTATACAAAAATGAGAACAAATCCCATTCCCTTGTAATACTGATGGTGTTATCTAGTGTGGTAATGAAATGTCTGCAAGAAAACAGTGAAGCTTAGAGAGCACCAAGAACCACACCGTCATCGTCCTCTTCCCTCTCTCTTTTTCCTCCTCCCTCCCTCTCCTTTTCCTCCTCCCTCCCTCTCCTTTTCCTCCTCCTGCTCTCTCTTTTCCTCTTCTCTCTCTCTTCCCTTTTCTCCTTCCTTCTCCATCTCCACCACCACCACTTGTCCTTCTTTCCACAACCCCCCCGCTCCCTTCTAGCACTGCTGATGTTACCTAGCTGGATTTCGAAACACCTGCAAGAAAAACCACAACACTCACGAGCTACTAAATCTTCTCTTTGGTTGATTCTCCAGTCGATTACCACGATCTCTCTCTCTCTCTCTCCAGTATGACTTCTCTCTGGAAAAGAAAACGATCGAGTGGGCCGAGAACATTAAAAGAATCCAAGCTGTCCAGCAAGAAACGGAGCGGAAGGCCAGGGAGACGCTGGCCAATGTGAAGGGGGGCTCAGAGGAGCACCTGCCCGAGGGTTGCGGCCTGGGGGCTGCCCTGTCTCTCCCCATCAACCCCATCCTGGCTGGCCTGCATCACAACTCCATCCTCACTCCCACTCCGGCCAACAGCAGCGCTTTGAAGCAAAAGGTCCTGAGTCCCTCCCACACCAAGGCCGACTTCAACCCAGCGGACTTCGAGTGCGAAGAAGACCCCTTTGACAAGTTGGAGCTGAAGACCCTGGATGACAGGGAAGAACTGAAGAACATCCTCCAGATCCACGCCGACACCATGGGGCCGATCGTGGCCCAACTGCTGGACGGCGGCTTGCCTAAAGTGGCGCCCCCGTCGGTCTTGCAAGACCAGGAGGTCCTGGCCTCTTTGGAAAGGGCGGCTTTGGACCTCAAGCCCCTCCACAAACCCAACGGTCTCGTGACCTTGCCCCAGCTGGGTGGGTGCGAGAAGATGTCCCTCTCGCCCGTGACGACGGTCAGCAACATCAAGTCCCTCTCCTTCCCAAAGCTGGATTTGGATGAGAGCGACTTGCAGGCTGCAAGGCTGGCGAACACCTACCGAGCACACAACGGCACTTTCCTGGGCGCTTTACCGGACAAAGCCAATGAACTGAATGGACACCATGGGACCGGGGCTCCTGCCTTTGCCGTGGACCCTGGCCTAGACACGAGAACGCTATCCTCCGTGTCCAGAGGTCCTTCCCAGCCCACCTCCGTAGCATGTACAGAAAACATTCCGGCTCTCACTACAGCCACAGCGGTAAGGGCTGCACAATAGGAGAAGTGCGCTTGGGGGTGTGTGTGTGTTAAAGCATGAGCTTCGATAGGAGGAGGAGGGGTTGTGATGGTGGGAGCTGTATATTTTTCTCTCTCACGATTTTTATTTTGTTCAAAAGATCAAAATCCAAAGGTGAAAAAATCAAAGAGACACAGAACAAAACTAAAAAAAAAACAATGTATTTGTGGCTGTTTTGTACTAAATGCCACTTTATAATGCCTTAGTAAGTCCATACCTAGAATACTGCATCCAGTTTTGATCGCCACACTAGAAAAAAAAGAGGTTGAGACTCTAGAAAGACCAACCAGGAGGATGAGGGGACTGGAGGCTAAAAGATATGAAGAACGGTTGCAGGAACTGGGCCTGGCTGGTCTAGGGAAGAGAAGGCCTCGTGGGGACACAGGAGAGCAGGGTTACAATATCTAAGGAACTGTCACAAAGAAAAGGGATTCAGGCTATTCTCCAAAGCCACCTCAAACCAGGAGAAGAAGCCATTGAGGGAAACTGATCAAGGAGAGAAGCAACTTAGAACTAAGGAGGAATTTCCTAACAGAACAATTAACCGGTGGAACAGCTTGCCTCCAGAAGTTGAAAATGCTCTAGCTGGAAGTTTTAAAGAAGAGATTAGATAATCATTTGTCTGAGCCTGGTGTAGAGTTTCCTGCCTAAGCATTAGAACTAGACCTCCAAGGTCCCTTCCAGCTCTGTTATTCTAAATCAGGGGTCCCCAAACTTGGCAACTTTAAGACTTGTGGACTTCAACTCCCAGCTGGCTGGAAAATTCTGAGAGTTGCAGTCCACAGGTCTTAAAGTTGCCAAGTTTGGAGACCTCTGTTCTAAACGGCATGATATTCTAAATGGTACAAATAAAAGCCATGTTCCCCAATCTGGACCGATTTTGGGGAAGACAGAAATTAAAGTGGGTGATGGAATACAGATGATCCTCGGCTTACGATTCGTTTAATGACCAAAGTTACAGTGGCACTGAACATTACCCACCCAAACCCCAGTTTCACACCTGCAGCTGGAAGGAGGGCAGTGGAAGGCAGCTAAAATAGGGAACACAACATTTTCCATGTGGAAAAACAGGATAATTTTTAATTACCCCTAGCATATGTCAGTCTTTTTTCTTACAGTAGATGGACATTGTATTGACCACTTCGTTGAACTGTTTACCGTTAGTTCCAGGTCTCCTTCATCAGTTAGCTCTGATCCTGTTTTTACAGGATCAGAGCTAATGGTTACAACTTTTTTTTGTACCTTTGTAACTTCGAACTTCACTAAATGAACAGTTGTAAGCTGAAGACTTCCTTATATTGTTTTTATCACTCAGAACAATTTAGTATCAATCAGCAAACTTGATTATATTACTAGTCACCTCGGATTCTAGGTGTTTTATAAATACAGGTAGTCCTCAACTTACAACAGTTCATTTAGTGACCAGAGTTACAATAACAGTGGAAAAAAAGTGACTTATGACTGTTTTTTCACACCTACGACCCTTGCAGCATCCCTATGGTCATGTGACCAAAATTTTGGCTGGGGAATTCTGGGAATTGAAGTCCATGGAGTTTCAAGTTGCCAAAAACGAGAAACGCTGGTGCCTGAATGGGAAGTAGTCATTGTTGAGTTAGCCCAACCCCTACAGTGAAAGGAGAGTGGATTTTTGTGTAGAGCCTGCGTGGATTAAGCCCTAATCCTGTGGTTCTACTTATTTTTTATTAACGCTGCTGCTTTGAAAGTGGGGTTTTGCCCCTGCGGGCTTGGTCTGGCGGTTTTATCTTGTGAAGCTTGGTGGGCTTTCTCTGCTTCGGTATGAAGACTTGGGCTGTGAGAAGCCGGGGTGGCACCACTGGTAGAATGCTGTATTGCAGGCTACTTCTGCCGACTACCAGGAGTTTGATCCCTGAATGGCTGAATGGCTGAATGGGTCAAGGTGGACTCAGTCTTCCATCCTTCTGCAGTCGGTACCATGAGGACCCAGGTTGTTGGGGGCAATAGGCTGACTCTGTAAACTGCATACAGAGGGCTGTAAAGCACTGTGAAGTGGTATGTAAGTGGTATTTCTAAGTTCTGTCTGTGTGTCTATCACAGAGGTCTCCAAACTTGGCAACTTTTAAGACTTGTGGACTTCAACTCCGGGAAGTTTGGGGATTCCTGGTCGGTCGGTCTGTCTGTCTGTCTGTCTGTCTGTCTGTCTGTCTGTCTGTCTGTC